AAGGGGCTGTGGCCAGCCTGCAAACAGCCATCAGCCACTTACCCAGGCTGGCCAGGCACCCCAGTGGGGACCCCCACCCTGATCTGGGACACCCTTCAGGGCAAATCAGCCGGCCCCCACCAATGCACCAGGCCTCTATCTTCCTATCTAATAATAGACAAACATGGTAATTGACCGTACCTTCGCTATGCCTCCCATTGGCTAATCAGCACGATATGCAAATTAATTGCCAATAAAGATGGCGGTTAATTTGCATACATAAACTCCAAGCAGCAGAGGGAAGACTGAAGGAGAGCCGCAGCAGCTAAGACGGAAGACTGAAGGTTGCTCCGGCTGGAGCGAAGGCCTGAGTCCCGGGTGCCAGAGGAAAACCTGTGCCGGCAGCCAGGAGAAGGGAAGGCCTATTGCACGAATCTCTTCATGCAACAGGCCTCTAGTATATAATAAAAGGGTAATATGCAAATTGACCCTAACAGCAGAACGACTGGGAATCACTGGTCACTATGACACACACTGACCACCAGGGGGCAGACGCTCAATGCAGGAGTTGCCCCTTGGTGGTCAGTGTGCTCCCACAGGGGGAGCTCTGCTCAGCCACAAGCCAGGTTGATGACTGCCAGTACAGCTGTGGTGGTGGGAGCCTCTCCCGCCTCCTCAGCAGCACTAAGGATGTCCGACTACAGCTAGGCCTGCTCCCCGCTAGCAAGTGGACATCCCCCGAGGTTTCCCAGGCTGCCAGAGGGATGTCTGACTGACAATCCCCCCGGTAGCAGGCCTAAGCCAGCAGGTGGTCATTCCCTGAGGGATCCCAGACTGCGAGAGGGCACAGACCGGGCTGAGGAATTCTCCCGAGTGCACAAATTTTTGTGCACCGGGCCTCTAGTATGATAATAAAAGCAAAAGGATAGGAGGGGAGAAATAGAAATATACTGTTACATAATTCATACATTATATATCAAGTGTTATAATATCTAAAGATCACTGATAATGTTAAACACGCACATTATAAATTCTAGAGCAAGCAGGCACTAAAAAGACAAAGATGTATAGCTAATAAACCAATAATAGAGATATAATGGAACACTAAAAAATACTCAAACTCAGAAAAGTCATGAAAAGAAGAAAAAGAAACAAAGAGAGTTGTAAAAAATAGAAAGCAAATAGCAAAATAGTATATTTGAATCCAGAAGACCTGCACTCCAAGAAATGTTGTATATCAATAATTAAATTATATGTACATGTTCTTTTAAAAAAATATGTTTTTATTGATTTCATAGAGAAGAAGGGAGGAGGGAGAGAGAGAAACATCAATGATGAGAGAGAATCATTAATTGGCTGCCTCCTGCACGTCCCCTAATGAGATCAAGCCCACAACCCAGGTATGTGCCCTGATCAGGAATTGAACTGTGACCTCCTACCACAGGTCGACGCTTAACCACTGAGCAATACCTGCCGGGCCAAATGTAAATGTTCTAAACACTCCCATTGTCAGAGTTAGAAACTAGATCCAACCCTGTTGCCTGCCTACAAGAAATCTGCTTTAAATATAAAGCCATAGATTAAAAGTAAAATGATTTCAAAAATTATGTAAAAACTAATTATAGAAAAATTGGAGTGATAAAATAATATTAATATCAGATAAAGACTTAAGAATAAGGAATACTATGAGGGTAAAGAGAACAGTTCATATATTCTTTGAATATGAAAGGGCACTTTTGAAGAAAAATAATGTGGAAATTACATGGGAAAATATGAAAATTTTTAGATTGTCAAAAATTTAAATTTTGACAATACCAAATTAGTAAGGAAGCAGGCCATGGAAAATTCATCTATGCTAGTGTAAATGTACTAGTAATTTATGAGTACAACCACTCTGAAAAACTTTTACACACTCTAGTAAGGTTGAATATGTTCAAATTCTATGACTGTGCAATTCCATATTTTGTTCTATGCCCTAGAGCAGGGGTGGGCAAACTTTTTGACTTGAGGGCCACAATGGGTTCTTAAACTGGACCGGAGGGCTGGAACAAAAGCATGGATGGAGTGTTTGTGTGAACTAATATAAATTCAAAGTAAACATCATTACATAAAAGGGTACGGTCTTTTTTTTTTTTTTTAGTTTTATTCATTTCAAACGGGCGGATCCGGCCCGCGGGCCGTAGTTTGCCCACGGCTGCCCTAGAGAGCAACGCTCAGGGCATTGGGAAATATGCACAAGAATGTTCGTAGTACCATTACTTGAATTTGCAACATCCCTAAGACAACCCAGATGTTGAATCAATAATGGAAGAGATAATTATACGCTTGTGAAATAATACACTATATAGCAGTGAAAACAAGTGGACAACAACTCTATACATAATTAAGAATGAGCTTGCAAAACGATGTGGAGCTACATGTGTCATTCACAGAAGAACCATGCAGTATGCTTCTATTTTCACTTCAAGAATAGGCAAAATTCAATATGTTTAAGGTGACATATGTAGTGGGTAAAACCATAAAGAGAAGCAGATGAATAATTAACAAAAAATTCAGGATCATGTTTAACTCTGGATTGGAGGAACAAGGATATAATTGGAATTGGGGAGGGTGGATATACAGTAGCCTAAGGCATTTGTTGGTAATGTTCAATTTCTTAACTTCTGTGGTCGATACATTGGTTTCTTATTGTCCTTCAAATCATAAATATTTTAGTTACTCCTTTGGAGGCATCCTAGTCTTCAATTAAAAAAAAAAGAAAGAAAGAAAGCAAGCAAGCAAGCAAGCAAAGGAAGAGTAAAAACCACACAAAAGGAAGTTGATAGATTCCAGAAAAAAAGTTCTAAACAAAAGTAGACTGCATACTAGCTTATGTTTCCAGAAATTAAAAGGAATGTCCCTACGATTCTCAACAATTTACTAAATACTAACACAAATAAGAAAGAAAATAAGCAACTACTTCTGTCAAAACTCCTTCAAAGCAGTATCCTCTTTAGAATCTTAGAATTAAATGGGAGTATTTGTTTTAAGATCTGTATGTATTAATACTTATTTCTGGAAAAAAGTCTTACAAATTACAAAGTGAAAACAACTAATTTCTTCTTACAACTCAACATTTATGGAGAGTTTGGTGAGCAAAATATAAGTAAGCCAAAAAACTTTAAACATTCACAGAAAAAAAAAATTAAAGAAATAGCCATTTCACTCAGCCAGAGTGGCTCAGTGGTGAGCATCGACCTATGTATGAATCTAGAGATCATGGTTCAGTTCCTGGTTGGGGCACTTGCCCGGTTGTGGGCTCGATCCTTAGTGGGGGAGCATGCGGGATGCAGGCAATCAATGATTTTCTTTCATCACTGATGTTTTTATCTCTCTCTTCCTCTCCCTTCCTCTCTGAAATCAATATAT